GAACATGTCTGGGGCATATGTAACCCCACACAAAAAGAAACATTTAAGAAATTATATTAAAAAGAATTATTGAAAAATAAGTTGTAATTATTTTTTTAGCATATTTTGCCTCCAAAATCTCATTACTGTAATCTAAAAAGAAATCTCATTCTCATTACTATAATGCTAAATAAATAAATGATATATTATAGTATTTAAATCCATCATGGCAGTGTTTGTTGTTATCTTTAATTTAAGTTGAATCACCATTGAGAAATCTGAGAAAATTACTCTCTCTCTCTCTCTCTCTCTCTCTCTCTCTCCCTCTCTCTCTCTCTATATATATATAATAATGCATAATAATATAACATATAACAAAATAATAGTCCTAAAAATATGCTTCATTTTCTTTTATTTTGGATGTATTCACTTACTTTTTTAGTTTGAATCTAAAGTTTATTCACTTACATGAGTGGATGTCTTTCTTGAGGACCCAGAATTCAGAGTTATCCTCAAATCTAACCAAACAGCACTGCTTGATGCTGTCCACCTGCCAAATAAATACAGTCAAACATCACAAACAACACTACACTGATTTACATGAATACAAGTCACATAGTTTCAAACTCGATCTTTCTGTCTCTCTGCAAGTGTCCTTTTCTCTCTTCCAAACTAACTTAGGCAAACGGCAAACTTACTCGTTTGACATTGCCAAGGTACAGAAGTCCATCGCTCCACCTGGCTAAAACATCCTCTCCTTCACTAACTCCCCCCATCCTGGAGAGCGCGGGAAAGAAAAGTGCAAAAAAAGATCCAGGGGCATTAAAATGTGTTTCCACACCAGCAGCAAACAGCAGCAGCCTAAAGGGTTAAACTCTGTGCATAGCGACAATATACAGTACAGAAGGATAAATGATGAAGAGTCAATGCACATTGCAGTGCCACACATGATCAAAAACACTGGCTGCCTTATGCAACGGACCATATTATATGCAGATGACACAACAATGCATGAAAGAGCGCGCAATTGATTGCATGCAAAACGCATGGCCAGATGTGCCCTAATCAATGCACCTAACTCAGAAGAGCTGACACACATGATTGCACGCGCATGCACATGTCAATTAACACGCATGACAGATCATACGTGGACGGGATGTACCTGTGTTAAGTGTTCTGCTCTGCTGGGGTCACAGAGACGGGGATGAGATGTCAGTCTCACATGAAACGCCTGATGCCCGGTGTTGTTCTGCGTCTCAATCACTGTCCCGAATAATCGGCGCGTTTGGAGAGTCGCGGCGGATCAAACGCGCGTCACTCAAGCCGTCAGTACGCAACCGTCTGTCCGTCCGTCTCTCTCACTGTCTGTCTTCTGCTTCATGTTCCCAACCTCCCTCTGTCTCTCGGTTGTTGCTATCATGCGTGTTAGTCAGGGAAGCGGCATGAGAATCAGCCCGAGAGAGACGCCATCATCATCTCTGCCTCGCTCTCCTTCGACTTGTTGTGACGCAGACATAAAACACAGGGAGATGGGGAGGGAGGGAGATCCGGAGAACACCTTCACATCTGTACGACTGACCGACATCCCACCTGCGCCCGACCCCACAGGCGCTCGGCCGGTGCCGCACACTCACGGCGGCTCATTAGGGAAAGTTTGGGCAGTAATTAGTCCAGCAGAGACTTTTTGGAGAAAGTTTGGAAATGCCCTTGTGTGCCGGCAAAAATCTGGCAACGCTGCTGTTCGCGCCCTATTCCGCGAAAAGCAAACGGGGAAATGGATTTTCTTTGGCAATGTTTGAACCTGCGATTGAAAAAACACAATGTTAACCGATATTAGAGGGTAGATAATCATGATAGATCAAGGCGATGAGCGGCGGATCAAACGCGCGTCACTCAAGCCGTCAGTACGCAACCGTCTGTCCGTCCGTCTCTCTCACTGTCTGTCTTCTGCTTCATGTTCCCAACCTCCCTCTGTCTCTCGGTTGTTGCTATCATGCGTGTTAGTCAGGGAAGCGGCATGAGAATCAGCCCGAGAGAGACGCCATCATCATCTCTGCCTCGCTCTCCTTCGACTTGTTGTGACGCAGACATAAAACACAGGGAGATGGGGAGGGAGGGAGATCCGGAGAACACCTTCACATCTGTACGACTGACCGACATCCCACCTGCGCCCGACCCCACAGGCGCTCGGCCGGTGCCGCACACTCACGGCGGCTCATTAGGGAAAGTTTGGGGCTGTAATTAGTCCAGCAGGGCCGCGCCGTGGACTTTTTGGAGAAAGTTTGGAAATGCCCTTGGGTACCGGCAAAAATCTGGCAACGCTGTTACGCGCCCTATTCCGCGAAAAACAAACAGCAAAATGGATTTTCTTTAAAAAAATATTTGAACCTGCGAAAGAAAAAACACAATGTTAACCGGTATGAGGGTAGATAATCATAAATCAACGTAGTGAGGGCAAATAGTAATACAAATACAAGACAAAAACACTTATTTTACACTATATATTTATTTACAATTAATTTTATAACATGAAATGCTTTACATTAATATTATGCATTTTTTAAATAAATAAAATTATGTATTTGTTGAAAAACATGAACATGAAAAACACTTCTACAAAAATAACAATATAAATAAATATATATATATAACAATATAAGTGATTATTCACACAAACTTAAAAATGAAACACACATTTTATATAATATGTTTCCAAGCCATTGAAAGAGCAAACCTGAAGAGCTTGACAAGGGTGATAAATTATTCATAAGCACCCAACCGCTATTTTAATTAGTCCACTCCAACGAATTGAATGCATAGCTCGCGTTACTTTTATGCTTTTATTCACCATAACCTTTTAATAAACACAGAAATCTCCCTCAGACATATTATTCCAGCTAGACGCAGAGCCCTTGCATAATAACACATAATAGCTTCTAATTTCATAACAGATGGAAAGTGTCCTGACAAACAAAAGGTCACAATATGGCTTCTTGTGCATATACCGCTTTGTTTTAAAATGGAAAATTATGAGCCTATACATAAAAACATAATTTAATACCTTTTGTAATTGTCAGACATTTATTATGGATAAACAAAACATTAAATTGCTTAAACCGAATAATAGTTTTTCCAAACCCCCCTTGGGTTGCTAATTTATGCCATATGTGGTGTGCTATGCTTGGTAATAAATGATAATAGATCATTGTATGATATTTATTTGGTGACTAAAGCAATTTATCGTTTTCCATGGCACAGTAAGCATGCAATTTTTTGTCCTTATTTTTGTTGTTAAAGGTCTTCTTGCCTGCAAGGTCCTGCCATAAAAACATTGCAAGGTCGGAGTGGTGGAGTCCACAGCTGGCCTTCTCCACTCAAGGATTAGCTTTAAATAATCACCCTGCTAGGAACCGCCCTGCCATTCAAAATCATAAACTTCAACACCACCGGCCACTTAAAATGCAGGCTGTGAAACAAGGTGTGCTATGCTTGGTAATAAATGATAATAGATCATTGTATGATATTTATTTGGTGACTAAAGCAATTTATCGTTTTCCATGGCACAGTAAGCATGCAATTTTTTGTCCTTATTTTTGTTGTTAAAGGTCTTCTTGCCTGCAAGGTCCTGCCATAAAAACATTGCAAGGTCGGAGTGGTGGAGTCCACAGCTGGCCTTCTCCACTCAAGGATTAGCTTTAAATAATCACCCTGCTAGGAACCGCCCTGCCATTCAAAATCATAAACTTCAACACCACCGGCCACTTAAAATGCAGGCTGTGAAACAACACCAGGTAATAAAATACAACCTTGACAATGTGTGAGCGTTCACTCTCTCTCTCTCTCTCACACACACACACACACACACACACACACACGCACGCAGCTAAACGAGACTTCTCCAGCGAAAGTCTTATCTCTGTAACCCAAAGGCCTTGCAGGGACCAAAGAAACAGGTCGGTCTAACCATCTACAGAGAAATACACAGCCTGTGTGTGTGTGTGTTTTGCCTATACTGTGAAAAACAAATGTCTCTGCAAGGATAGTAAAACCTCATAAATAAAGCTAATATTTATAAATGGGTTGGGTAGTTGACACATAACATCAAAACAAGATTTTAGGTAAAAATTTATATGCATGTATAAGAGTGAGGCTTTTTTTTTTTTAAACTCCATGTAGTCACTCAGTTAACATGACATCATTGAACCATAATTGCATAATAAATAATGATACAATAAATAAATAAATAGAAAAACATTGATCAAAATAAAAATAATAAAATAAAATAAAAATTGCAAAAAAATATTCAGATGAATGGGGGCTAGAGCAACATAAAATTAGATAATAAACATATAATAAAATAAAACTAACTACAAAAAAATTAATTATATTTTACTTTTTTTTCAGATGGATAACGGAAAAGGTGGATAATAACATGAATGATATGTAAGAAATATAATTATTTTATGTCAGATAAATTAAGGGAAATAATGTAGCTGGAATAGCAGCAAAATAAAATAAGATAAAATAAAATAAAAAATAGTAGCTAACTGCAAAAGTAACAAATGATATCTCAAAAAAGTAACATTATTTTATTGCAGATGGTAAAAGTAAATGATATATAAATTTTTTTTTTTTTTTTTTGATGAATGAGGAAACTAAAGTGACTGGAGTAGCAGCAAAATACAATAAAATTAAATAAAAATGGTAACTGCAAAAAAAATATTTAAAAAAATAACATTCTTTTATTTCAGATTAATGAGGGAAATAAAGTGGCTGGAGTAAAATAAAGAGTAACTGCAAGAATAATAAATGATTTCTAAAACATTATTTTATTAGAGATGGGGGGAAAAGTGGCTATAGCAGTGCAACAAACAAACAAAGTTGAGTGGCTATGCATTGCGTAAACATAGAAACGGGATGTCCGCGTTGCTTCGGGCGCTTCCAGTACAGACAGCTTCGTTTACTTTTTATTAGAGCAATCTTGTTGTGTCGCGACGCGTCCGGTGTTTTTGCCAGCAACGCTGCTTCTCTGAATTTACCGGGCAGTGCTCCTCATCAGCGCGTCCAGCCAATGACCAGACGCGCTGGAGTGACAGCAGGAACTGCGCCCAACGCGCCGCCCGCGCCTCACCAGCGCAGACCTCACAAACACAGCCAGCTCGCCGCCTTCATCGGGCCGATAAGCATTGACTGGCGAAGCAGGAGGGGAGAGATATGGAGGAACAGAAACTCTGACTTCCGAGGAACCCACACGCAGGGGCGGATGGACGCGATATTGGTCTCCTAACAGGTATTTCTGCGTTAAGGTTTGGTGTGAATGAACGCGAATGTTCGTCTTCTTATGTGAGACGTGAAGAGAGGATATGTCATATATAAGCAAACTGTAAGTTCATAGAGAAAAGTTCTTAATAAAATCATTCGCGTCCTGTGCGTAACGTAGCTATTTTGATATCGCTGGGAATTAACATTATATGAAATTTTGACACGTTCCTGTTTAGACTCAATAAACGGAAAATACAGTTAAGCGGAGTGCTTTAGACAGGGTTAGGGTTAGATGAAAGGGAACTTTATTTTCCTGTAAGGTTTGACCTAATTCACTCTTGTTTTGCACACTAATAAATGTTTATCCCTGAGACCGCATTCAGAAGAGTTGTAATGTGAACTATGATGTTCATGAACTTACACTTGTTTCAAAGATCTTGGTTATTGCTGTTTGTGACAATGGCACTGAGTTCTAATGGTGAGCTGCTCTCTTTCCATCCTTCTTTTCCTGAAAGAGATCTCTATCTGTAGTCTAAAATAAATAGCAGTGAGTAAAAGGCGAGGGAGGGACCTGAATTCAAATTCAAAGTTGTCTCTTGGCAAAGGGAAATGTAAATGATGAAAACAAATGATCTACCAGGCATACAGCTGCCTGTTCCTCTCCAATGACCTCTCTTTTGTTTTGTTTTTTTGGGCCAGCAGCCCCATCATGCTCCCCCGAAGTATGAAAACATCTGGAGTAGAGCTGCCGGGAGTGGGACAGAGAGAGGTGCCCCTCATTGGATATCGACCCCTACAGCCAGAGGCCAACAGCCCTGCAGATCAGCTGTGGAAGGAGAATGAGAACAAGGAGGCTGATCACACACAGGCAAGAGGACGATGAGATCATGATTTACTCCTGATTTCAAAAACGTTTTGTCTTTGAAAGTAATTAATCTTTTTATCCAGCATCAAATTCATCAATAGTGACAGTAAATACATTATAATGTTGCATAATATCTGTTTTCTCTATTCTGTTCATCAAAAAATCCTGAAAAAAGTATCACGGTTTCCACAATAATATAAAGCAGCACAACTGTTTTCAGCATAGATAATAATCAGAAATGTTTCTTGAGGATCAAATCGGCATATTAGAATGATTTCTGAAGGATCATGTGACACTGAAGTAATGATGCTGAAAATTATAAATTCAGCTTTGCATCACAGGAATTAATATTTTCCCACTTCGTTCTTAAAAATCCACAAGATGTCATAATTCAATAAATGTAGGAGCAAAATAAAACAAACCAAACAATAAAATAAAATAAACAAAATAAAATAAAATAGGGGTCATTATTTATAATTATTATAGTTATTTATTATAGGGTTACTATTGTTAACTAAAAAAAAAATTTTTAAAAATCCATTACTTGAAATGAAATGAATAGTAACTAAAAAATAAAATAAAATATAAAAAGCAAACTTATTTTATTTCAGATAGTTGCCAAGGCAGCACTTCTCATTTTCATTTAAAGTTGAAGAACTAAAATAACTAAAACAAGATAAATTAAAATTAAGAACCTAAACTATATATACATATAATACAAATGACAAAAACAAAACAAAATTACTAAAACTTTAAAATAAAATTGAAAAACAGAAAATATAAGAATAAAACCAAAAACTATAATAGTATATCAGTAATACTAAAATAACACTGCCACCTTTTATGTAAATTTGGCTGTAAAAAATACCATTTATTTAACCATTATTGTGACCTTCAGAGGCATTTTTATAAGCCCTGGTTAATCCTGATTGTATTACATGTATACTACTGTACATGAATACTACTGACAATAACTTCATTTCAACCAAAGTGTAATTTAGGGACATATTTCTTGGATCAGGTCTTGCTCATTGGGTTGGGTTGCTTTGCTTACAGTGGGTTTCTGTGGTAGATAAGAGCACACATATCTATACATATGTTTCTGAATGCTGTGGTTTTCTGTGTTAGATCAGCTTTCACTTGTGGATTAAAACTTGAAACAGTATATTCAGCCGTGTTGTGACCCTTTCACCCCGGTGTTTTGATCTGAAGTAACATAGATCTTGTTCTCATGAGACATTTAATCATAAGGAAACTGAAGCTCCGGTTGTGGAGTTCTCAGAAAAGCTGCAGGGGCTTTCGTTGTGACTCGAGAGGGTAACTAGCTGCAAATGTTATTTTAAAGAGGGTCTATTACATAACTAACTGTGGCGATATAAAGAGGCCAAGCTGAAAGTTAATCAAATTCAAATATGCTCATCTGGTGCTCTGCGATTAAACCTGCGTTGTGTTTGTTTTAGCGGGAACCGTTGTGTTTTGGCCGTACTATGGGTGGTGAGTTTCTTATCAGCCTAAGGCAAAGCCCTCGTGTGCTGCTGTTTGACCCCACCTGGTATTCTCTCATGATCTGTGTTTATATACCGTCAGCTGCTGCAGGCGGCTTTGAGATTACACGTCATCAGTTTACATACAAGTGTTTCCTTCAAATCAAAGGGGCTTTCAATGAGGCTCGACCACTTATTATACCTCATTTAAAAATAATTGTGGTTGTCACAATACCAATACTAGTGAAATATCACAAATTGTAATACTAATTGCGATATGATATAGGTTTTAGACACACAATTTCTCTCTCTCTCTCTCTCTCTCTATATATATATACATACAGTATATATATATATATATATATATATAGATTTTAGCAAATGGCTGCAATATAACAAAGAGTGAAAAATTTAAGGGGGTCTGAATACTTTCCGTACCCACTGTATATATATATTAGAGTATGTTTTACAAGAAAATACTTATATTTCAGTTTTTATACTTCAAAATGTAATGTTTAATTCAATGTGCTACTTGCCGTTTTATGTAATTAATTGTGAAATTTACTAGCAAATTTTTTTTTTTACTAAAATTGTTTTTCAATTGTTTACTAAAATTGTTTTTGCACCAAACTTTTTCATAAACTAAACTATGGCGTTATTTTAATGACAAATGTCGAGAGTAGGGCTGGACGATATGGCCAAAATTGATATCACGATATATTTCTTAATTTCGGTCGATACGATATAATTCCGATATCGATATGAACACTATTTATCTGAAATAGAAATCTTTTGTAACATTATAAATGCCTTTATCAACACTTTTGATCAATTTTAAGCATCCTTGCTAAATAAAAGTATAATTTCTATAATTTCTTTCCCAAAAAAAAAAAAAA